TTTAAATTCATATGACGGCGCATGTGTTTATTATTATTTTTTTAAAATGTGTTTAATGCTGAAAAGAATAGTTGTAGATAAAAAAACTAGTAGTACCAAAAACAATTAGTAGTATTTAAAAACACTGGTAGTACCAAAACAAGTTTTAATGTTGAATACACCGTAGTTATACCGTAGTACAAGAAAACAAGTTTGTTTATAGTAATACGTATACAAACCATGGTAACAATCCCAAATACATGAAAACATCATCTCAACATTACTAAGCAGAAACATAAAGTTTTAAGAGTCGAATAAGAGAGAAATTTGATGAAAGAACAATCCTTCTTATCTCTAAATCATCGATAAGCAAATACAAGCTTCTTCAAATCAGCAACACTCTGGAGAGACCTGGCTGGTGAAACAGCAACACCTCCATTCTCTGCCTTTGAGTACTCTTGTACACATCATGTAACACGCTCTCTCCAGTCTCGAAGAAGAAAAGCTAAAAGCTTTGAGCTATTCCTATAACACAACAAAAAAAGACATATAAGTTTCTGTTTAAGAGACAATGACTAAACAAATGATATATAAATGTCTACAATTAAGAGAGAACATATGGTTATGGTTTTGATCCTGCCACTTTTCATAACTTTTCATATGGAATCAATGAACGCCGAGTTCACTAATGTGTTCATCAAAATTTTTTATGTTTACAAAGTTGGCTCAATCACATGCTCTTTCATTTTGTGCCAAACCCACAATAATTTCTCCACCATTCCAAACTCTTAATCAGAGATTTAGCAACAAAAACAGTTATAGTAAATTTTGTTACCCATGGAGATGGTTATAGATTACGATTCAATGGTTCTATCCATTTGGGAGGAGGAAGAGAACTAGTATTAAACACAGACCTAAGACTCATCCTCATCCACTCCATCGTCTTCTCCTCTCTTTCGTCTCCGACATACGTGGGAGAATTCAGGAACATCGAGGTGTCATGGAAAGAACATCAGGGTGTCACAATGCATCATTCCCTAATAGAGCAAGAAAGTGAACCATATTTTCCATCTACATGACACAATAAAAGCCAATATCAGTCTCTTTCATATCTCAATTGTAAGAAGAACGAAACACAACTTTTAAGCATTAAACCCACTCACTTCTAGATCAGACATCGAAGCTTTGATGAACCAGAACGTATTGAGTTCGGACGGTCAAATACCATTGACAGTTTCCAAGATTTTTTTTCTCCATCACTAGAATCTGCTTGATATTGTAAACAATGTCCGCGACATACACCAAATCGTTAACCTTCACACTGCCATACATCACACCAAATTAGTAACATACAAACACAATCACAATCACTCTTTCATATCAACTTGTTCGAGAAATATGTACCAGAGGGGGCCGGATTTCTTCATACTTGGAAGAGATATGCATAATACTGATTCCAAATAATTTTGTACCAGAAACGATCTAGAACGGTGATTGAACGATCGTCGTTTGATAAAATCTTGAGATGAAGAGGATGAGCAAGCATCAAGAGATCTTTGTAGTATCTCTTCTCCCATTTATACTCCAAAACGAATGATTTTGTGAAATCTGTATCACCTGAATCTGGGTAACAAGAATTGAATCGGGCGATGATTAATTCAAAATTTGGATTTAAGGATTAATGAGAGGAAGTAAGAGGAGAAAGAGGAGATGCGACCGTCGATGACAAATCAAACAAGGAGAGAGATGTTGGGATTG